TATCCACTGGACGGAATCCCAATATCTGCAGACGGATCCGTTTCGGCCTTCCAGCCCTCATCAGTGCAGCTAGGGTATAGCCCCAAACGAAACGTTCGACCAGCTTAGGGAGGGCCAAAATTAGTCCCACGACCACTAATGATTACAGAACCAAACCAAGGCAATATATATACACAACCCAGGTGTGAATGCAAATATTGGAATACAAGCTATGTGGATCGGTTCCAGTAGATACAGAGAATATTTTGTCATTCTTTACGCGTCCTACGAAATTCTTACGAGACACCACTAGTCCGTGAATTTGTGAACAAGATCGGAGATCTAAAGATGCAATATCTACCGTGCATGAGTGGCGGTCCGTTGGATCTCAATAGAGATTCATTAATATTATATAAATTTTAAAAGGCAAATGGGGAAACCCATAAAACAGCAAACGGCCACATAATGCAAAACTATTTAAAATTAAAACGGAACAGTAGAGAAAATCAAATCAGAATGACAAAATAAACTAAGCATCCACTGGATAATTATGGTCCTTAGTCTATTGTTTAAGTTAGTTGTTGCATAGCAAATGTTTCTTTCTGTGCCTACGTGAACTGGCTAGTTCATTTCTGTGAATAAGTGTGCTTAATTCTGGCTTAAAAAATTATGAAATATTTTTCTATTATGCATAAGTTACATTTCTTAGTGGCTGTGGAGTAAGGTTTACATTTGCCTAGAATTCTCCACTTTATGGAATATAATATTGACTTATCTTTTAGTGTCCATATATATTGGCTTAGAGTTGTGGCATTTTTCTGAGTTTTATTTCTAAAATTGCTGTTGTGTCCATGTTCATGTAGGCACAGAAAGAAACATTTGCTATGCAACAACTAACTTAAACAATAGACTAAGGACCATAATTATCTATGCACCATGGCAACATATATTCGCTGTAGTTTCTGTCAGTATTAGTGTATGATCCTACTTGGTATGCTTATTATGTATTTAAGCCTGATGAGTGTGGGTAGATTTTAGCTACTCATACGAAACAAGTTTGTAGCCAATAAATACAGATGGAATCGTTTTAAGTTTTGTGCATATTGTTTTAACTGATTCTGCTCCCAGCCAGTTGAGCCCTCTCATCCTAATGATTTGCACCAACTTCCCCTTGATTTTATTTATATATATAGGTAGATTAGTAATTGAAATCTATCGTTACAGGTCAATTGCTTTGTCTGATTTTTGCTATGATTACAACCAGATGAGTGCTCATACTCACTTTGGATATTCACAGGAATATGAAGTAAGTCAACGCCTTTCTGCTATCTGGTAATTTTTTTTTAAAACTCTTACCTTACTAGTGTACTTAATTCCCATTTTTGCATATCAATATCATTCTCATTACACCATGAAAGTCGTCGTCTGGACTTGCTTCAGTATTCTCTAAAAATACACTAGATATTACGAAACATAATTATCTAAAAACAAGAACTTTTGAAAAATTTACAACAAAATTTATCATATATAGTACCAAAAAACAGATAAATTAGATATGGTAGTTGCGGGTATTCTAGTGTTACTCGATCTAACATTCAGCAATACGGAAGAAGTAAGGGACCCCGAGGCTCTACACGTGTGATGACGTAATGCTGATAAACAACCGTTGAAGTTGGCCAACCGAAGGTGGACAAAATGTCTTAAAAGTAAGTAAATTAATCTGGTTAAACCAAAAAAGGTATTAAACAATAACTTGTTGTTTGTGTTTTTAAAGTCCATACAGAAAATTGGTAAGAAGATAAGTTCGAGTGTTGCTGTACAACCTGAAAATGTTGTTAAGAACCGTTACTCGAACATTTTACCTTGTAAGTATATGACGGAATTACCAAAATTAGGTCACTGTTTCAAATAAATTACACTATTATCCAAACATATCTGTACCTTTCGTACGCAAATATTTTGATTAAGAGGTAGTTACAACTAAATCTTTTGTAAGTTCATTATTTGTTGAATTTAGTAGTGCTTTCTACACAAGACAACTACACTTGATGGTATATAAATTTGAAGAGATGAATATTACCCAAGACAGGTTCATTTGATTCAATGCTTTTTAAGTAACATGCAACAACGTGTAATGGGTTAAAGACGCCCAGGAATCACGTTCTATCACCCTCTTTGCTTACTATTTTTACCAGTGATTGTATAATAGTATGGTTATATTTTAACCTACACGTGGCCGTATCCAGGATTGGCATTGGCGGATGGGGGGGGGGGTGCGGTGTGTGCAAAAATGGACCAACAGGGTGTAAAATCCTGTTTGTATTTAACTTGCTCATGAAGTAACAAATTGTCATATTGAAAATAAAATTCGTGTGTTTTAAAAATGTTTACCCATAATTTGTCAGGGTAAGTGTATTTTATTATATTTATCATTATCCAGTATAAAATCGGAGTAAATATTTTTTATATTCAATAAACTTTATGCTTAATTAATAATTTGTATGTTAGTTTAAAATGAGCAGGTTAATTTCAAAATTAATGTTTATTATTATTTGTCATTGTAAAGGGACCATAACTCGTTGGCATAGTAATGTACTGTATGGTTTTAAGAAGAATTGAATTCAATTGAATTTATTCGGCATCATAGAAATATAGCAAAACATTACAAACATCGAACAATAAAAACATCAATTTACCAATTTACATCGAAATAGATAAATAGGTAAGAAGCCAGCTGTTAAAATAGTAATAAAATATAATCATTAGTAAAAATGTATTTTTTTAAATTAATTTATTGTTTTTCTTATAGGCCTATACACCTTTCGAACAGAATAATGGGAATGCCTTGGCAACCCAATAAATTCCAAGAGGAGTTATTTCCAATTGGATCTAAGAAACATCACCTAATAGAAGAGTATATATTTAAAAAAAGGTCATAGTCAATATATAAAATTGATAAAAAGTCGATTCATCAATACATCAAAAGTTAAAGCTAAGAGTACAAGCCCTGAATTATCAGTTCCTTTAGAAACTGGATAGTCCAACCTAATTAATGTTTTTTTATGTATTTTATTAGAAAGGCCAACTTCATTAGCAGTCGTAGAAAGGCGCTTAGTAGATTCATCATTCCTCAACTAAATTTGACACAACATATTTAACATGACAACAGAAATTGAACTTTAAATAAAGAACACCTAAATCTATATGAAAAGAAACTAACTCGAGTGTTTGCATATTTAATTAGGATTAGATTTTAAAGTAATTTAAAGTGATTTTAGATTAATAAACATAAATTTACATTTCTGAATTTTCAAGGTTGATCCACCGGATTCCAAACTTGTCTACGAGGTGACTTGCGTTCTCATGAAGTTGAACTTCAGGAGGGCGCAAGTTATTTAATTATTATTAAAAGAAACAATTTCATTTAATAATTTCCTTTCACAAGATCAATGACATAATAAAACTCATTTGGTAATTGGTCGTGCATCTAGACGTATTTGGGTCCTTTCACCATACAGGCTTTTTCAATTACTGTGTACCTCTCATTTGAAGACGGATTGGAATTCTCTGACATATAGCATATAGCCTGACTTTCACTAATACACGGGTAATACACAACTCAAAAAATGGCACCATTGTCCACAGCACATTTGGCTTTACCTCCCTACTTTCTTATGTTTCCTTTTCTTTTACTTTCCCTTATCTTTATTTTTCTTACTTTCTTATTTTTTTTCTTGCTTATGTTTCTTTTTAATTTTCGTTCCTTTACTTTCTTATATTTCCTGTTCATTTCCTGTTCATTTTCTTTCTTATGTTTCCTTATCATTCTCTTTCCTTTCCTTTTCTTTATTATGTTTCCTTTTCATGTTCATTTCTTTACTTTCCTATGTTTCCTTTTCATTTTCCTTCATTTACATTCTAATGTTTCTTTTTCAGTTCCTTTTTCTTTCTTATGTTTCCTTTTCATTTCATTTCCGTTCGTTTAATTTCTTATGTTTCTTTTTCATTTCCTATTTCTTTTCTTTCTTATGTTTCCTTATCATTTTCTTTCCTTTCTTATGTTTCATTTTCATTCCTTTACTTTTCTTGAGTTTCATTTTCATTTCTGTTCTTTTACTTTCTTATGTTTCCCTTTCATTTTCGTTCCTTTACTTTCTTATGTTTTCTTTCCATTTCCTGTTCTTTTTCTTTTTTATGTTTCCTTATCATTTTCTTTCCTTTTCTTTTTCCAATTCATTGCACGGAAAATGTCATTTTGAACACGAAGTAAAGCAGTTTCTGTGCTGTGGTGTGCTCTATATGCGGATTGGAATGGATCAAGCAAAGCGTGTGTTTGAATGTGCGCTGAAAATCTTGTCCATATGTTCATACAACCCTCTCTATTGTCTTCCCAAGGAAACTTAAATTTGAAATAGGCCTGTAGTATTTCGGAACTTCAGGATAAAGGTTAGCTTTTTTTAAATGTAGGGCGAATATGTGCAATCTTAAGAACAGCAAGAAAACACCACATTCCAAAGACTTATTTACAATATTATTGATGAATGGAACAAAGACATCAATGCATTTCTTGATCAAAGAAACTGTTACAGGGTCAGCCTCACGAGATTTTGAGGGTGAATTTCTAATGAGGTTAAATATATCTTCCTCACTGGAAGGTTCAAACTCATCAAACAGTGTGGACGTATGAGAAGAATCAGAATTAAAAGAAGAATCAGAAATGTAATAAAAGTTATCCTGGACCAGAGAATCCCAAATTTCCAGAAATTTGTTTACAAAATAGCCAGAAAACCTCTCAGCAAAATCTGAAACAGAAAATGGAAGAGCTGATGACTTTTCTTTCAAGTTGACGGCGAATTTTACGTGCGGAGCGTATCTCCTCAGTAAACCAGGGCTTTGAAGACTTAAGTTTGATAGTTTTGTTTTTTTTTACCAGTTCATGCTGATCTAGAACTAATCTTAAATCGGTAAATTTCTCTACAAACATATGTGGATCACAATCTAAATCCATGAAACGAGCATGAATATCTTTCTTTAATTCATCCATGTCAACTCGTCTGATACCACGTCTCTTAAAGTGAATGTTAGGTAGTGGGGGTTTCCTGAAAGTAAACTTGCAAATAATTGCAAATTATCTGAAAGACCGGGGTGCATGTGTAATTCAGATAGCCATGAAGTATCTCGAGTGATCAGAAGATCAAGGCAGTATCTGCCACAGTGTGTGGGCTCATTTACATGCTGCAAAAAACCAAAGGATGTCAATAGTGTTTTAAAATTATTAGCTGACATGCCATTGTCATCGTCCATGTGAATGTTAAAGTCACCATAGAAGACAACCTCAGATGGATGTAAAATATATTCAGCAATCATCCTTTCAAAATCGGTAAGGAATTCAGCAACGGACAATCCAGGTGTGACCTCAGCATGTATTAGCTTCAAAAGAATTATATTTCCTAACATTTGTTTTTATGTTTACAGCTAAACTGGATCTAAATAGAATACTGACACACCCCTCTTCTATCCTCCCTGGGAATATGCTTGCATCTGTATCCCGATTGCGTTAAGTTGCCAACTACTAAGTCATTTTCTGGTCTCAGCCATGTCTCAGACATTGCCACAATATCAAGGTCGTGGCCACCAACAAAGTCATGAGGCTTGTTACGCAGTGACCGTGCATTAAGTATTCTAAAAGAGATAAGCGAATCCAATTTCAAAGTTCTATCTGCACGTTTATGTGAAGGGGATTCTTTTTTGGCAAACCCTTTGCTTATATTTCACTCGTTTGCCTGCTCTACACCTACGACTCCTTCGATTTATAACTCCTTAATCCGTGCAAAAGCACTGGGAGTTATTCTAGCTTTATGACTACGGTTTATGGAAAGTAATATCTTCCTATTGTATTTGATAATACACTGGCCAGGCTCAGATTGACCTAGTGTGTTAGACCTAGGCCTCATGAAATTGATTGGTCATTCAGAACACGTTGACCAGGGGCTAGCAAAAAGTGAAAATTAGAAGCAAGTTGACTTACAAATCACTATCACCCACTACACAACTCATGATCTGCACCAAAGTTGGCACTGCCTTTGATTATCTTACGCCTATAGCGAAAGGGTTGCAGCGCTAACACGCAACTCATAGTGTGTTCATTTGCAACTTTTGACTTTTTTAAACAAGACAAAGGCTGGTCTATGATAAAGTTTCGTCCATATAAAAATAGTTTGAAACGTTGTACCGTCCAATTTATAGTGAGACATTCTTCATCACGGAATAACCTTTCTGGCTTTTTCAACAAACACAAGCGTCACAGACAGACAGTGGGAGCTCATTGCAATACCCACTTCGTGGGGCGAGGGTAAAAATGACACCCTTGTTTCCCCTTAACGTCATGTTATTTTCCTTAACATCGTTTTGAATTGTTCTCTAATTTCTCCATTTCTAAGTTCTTATTAAGGTAGATTTTAGGAAACATCATCATAGGGGACGCTGTCGTTCAAGCTGTTTACAACCGTTTTTGGCAATAGATATCCCTTACCCCCCAAGAGTTTCCTGTTTAGGTTGAGATGCAAGTCCGCAATTCGTGTTCGATAGTCAGCACGTAAAATTGACCTAGCTGCGCGGTTTTTAAGGATTTGTAATTTGTACCATTTACTTGCGTTGCCCCAAGCGACGTCAGCATAATCGAAAAGAGCATCGATAGCAAGGTGTGTAATAATGAAATTTAATGTGTTGCTTTTTTACACAATATTTCAACATGAATGGACCAAGGTAGAGCGGAATCAAACCATACTCCAAGGTACAACAGCTTGAATGGCAAAGTCACCAACTTTTATCTCAAGGGGCGCGCCCGGGTGGCTGCACCAATACGTTTTCTTTTAGAACCAAAAAGAAGAGATTTTGTTTTTTCTTTGTTAACAGATAACTTTTTTTAATAACCAATTATTTTATTTTACCAAGTTCATGTTGCAATTTACTCTGAATAACCGACACTGATGTATCAGAAAAAATAGGGCCGTGTCATAGCGTACATTGAAACAAAACAATTTTAAAACGGAAATAAACAGATCATTAATAAACAAAATAAATAGTAATGACCCTAATATAGATCATTGAGGAACACCACTACCGATTGGAGCAGCGGATGACCAGACACCATTAACACATGTAATCTGTCTTCTGTCAGACAGATAAGAAGAGAACCAACCGAGTGCTGAAACACTCGGTTGAAAGTCCAGTACTTGCAAGCTTCTTGAAGAGAGAGTGGGATGGTGAACGGTATCCAACGCTTTTTTCAGATCGATAAAAACCGCTCCCAGTAAGTTTACCCTTATCCGTGTTTTCCAGAATATAGTTTGTTACATGGATAATTGTTGTTGTAGTACTATGGAGTGGGCGGAAGCCAGATTGATGAGAGGACAATTTATTAGATATGTAAATGTGAAACTTGTTGTGGACAAAAAGTTAAAGTACTTTCATCAGTATAGCAGGATAGTAAATGGCCGATAGTTTTGGCAATCGGTTTTCGATCTACCCTTGTGAGTAGAAACAACCGTACCCAGTTTCGAATCGGTTGAGACGATCTCAAGGGAGAGAGACATATTTAAAATGACCGCCAGATGTTCAGCATTTATTGGTGCAGCCGCCTTAAGAATTCGAGGATTGAAACCATTGTTGAACTTAACTAAGAGTAAATCACATTCAACATCCCTGCAAGATTATTTTCTGAAAAGATTTTAATAATTTCAACAGTGCTATCGTCGTCGTTAAAATTATTCACAATATTGACAGTAAAGCTCAGCTCTGTTCACAAAAATCTGTTCTATGCAGGAAGATAATTTTACTGTGGTTCTCGTTGGCTTGTTAATAAGATGAGATAAATCATATCGTCTGGCGATTTGTTATAGCCTTTGCCAGAGCTGTTTTCCACCATCAACAGAATTACAATTGATGTCACCGAGACAAACAGTTTCGTGAAATTGACGTTGGCCGGTTCCCACTGAACGTGATCAGGTGAATTTTGCGTCGAAATGTGGCGCGCCCGACTGAATCGAACATAAACATTTTTTAGAGTAACGAGACTTTTCCTGACCAATAATTAAAATGTTGTTTATATTATTTTTGTAGATGATCGTACAAGAGTAAAACTTACTTATATACAGGGAGAAGCAGGATCGGACTATATAAATGCAAACTACATCCCCGTAAGTCCATATTCTTGCTTTCTACAAATTACTACAATTTTGTCACATTTCTTACAATTACTTTACTTTCTGTAGTATCTCTTATAGTGGTATAGTACCATCAACAATATATGCTATAGAAAGATCAGATGATCAGGTCATCGTGGTTTAAGATTGTTGAATAAACTAGAGTTGTGATTTAGAACAAATTTACCAGGTGTTATTGTTATTGTCGATCGACCTACAATATACTATACATTTGGCGACAAGGTTGGATCGTGGCGTGGACTCTTGAAACCTCTAGCAGCGTTTTATTTAAAATATAGGGACAAAAATTATATGAACTCGTATACAATACGGAATAGTTAGTGGTCTTCTAAATGTAGAAGACGACGCTATACGTCGAACTGTGCTTTTGCATTGTATTTTTGCTCCAGTTCATCGGATTTTCGGCAATGTTCCAGGTGAGAAACAAAAATACAATGAGGCAAAGGGCTCAACAACTCAACGAAACTATCGACGAATATGTTACAGCATTAAGAGAGTTAACACATGTCACTATGTTGTTATCCAACAAGAGCCAATGAACTTATCTGAGATCAGTTGATTGGTTCTTACTCTTATAAAGGAATGAAATAAAAACCTTTAAATAGACGTAATTTACCTTCAAAATAACACGATTATATAAAGCTGTCCATAAAAGAGCAACACAGATAAATGCTTATAACAAAATCAATAGCGTTCAAAATAATAGATAACTTTATAACTATAGAAAGTTTAGTAATAAAAGAATAGCAACTAATTGCCGTTGAAAAAACATGTTCACACAAAACCCGTAACTATAATGTAGAACACATACACAAAGAAATCGTATGATAAGCTAATCCTAGAGAAAACCTAATTTAAATGTCATGGGCAGTACTTTGTCTTTAAATTCAGATTGAAATGAATATTCAGAAAATACACAGTAGGTCTATGTGAAAACAGCACATGGCAATGCATCGACAGACACAAATTTGTTTAACCATGTACAGCAATAATACCCAGTGCTAGGCATCTCTCACCTGTTTAGTACCTGGTTCAATTCCTATCGCTGTTCTCCTTTTATTTCATTTGGAGGGCTGAAATGCAAGTTACGATAGCGCACCATCTTTCTGATAAGACGTTTAAGCCCTTGGTCCGATTCGCATTATAGCCCATGTGCACATTAAAGAAAGCAAAACACTCTTAGGATAGGAGTAGGGGGTTTTCACCAGAAGGACCCCACTGGAAGTAAGTCTTCTTTAGACTGTCATGAGTTATCTTTGGTGTTTACACCGAATCAATCCATCAACCGATCCTCCAACAGTTAAAGACGCAGGATGTTAACGTAATATAATTAGTTTGAAATGGTTCAAGAAAGTATACACAAGGTGTCGCCGACAGCTGAAGGATAGTAAACGGCTTATTGCTTATGGTAAATCTAATTCGTTGAAAGTTTTAGGACACTTTCGAACATAGATAACCTGGAATAAACATGTTCTGGAAGACAACTAGTTTGTGATGGAAGAAATCACAGAGCATTGGTATCATAGAGTTTTCCGAATATAATAATGAATTACAGGTAACAACAAATGCCAAACAGAGATGTCAAGATTAAGACAAGAACATGATGACATTATTTTGTGGACTAAGAAAACACAATTTACTGCACTGTCAACTGCTTTGTATAATTCATGGCTGTATAATGTTACTTAAGTAGCAGCGAAGTGTCCCTCATAGCTCTCTTTGAGTCTTACTTGTATCAGCACTAGTGAATATTTGTTGAAAGTATCCTCACTCCTTAATCTTTGCTATATCTTATTATTTAACGGTTTTAAGCATACCACTACCAGTCGTTCCAGAAATCGTCACCGTTTTTACAAGGACACACACTTTCGAAGAAAACATATTTTTGAGAGAATCAAAGTGGACTAACACAAATTGTAAATTTCACTATCAAGATAATGATATTTTGATTTTTTTACATATGTTTCAAGATAAAGCATTGGACAATTCAAATGTTCAATTTATTTTTCTTTCTTAACTTTAATTAATGTTAATTAGCGTGAATAGATTTTTTTTTTCTCTTTTGTGGGAGTTTCACCCACTTTTATTTCATTTCTCTTTTCTTAGTTTAATAACAATTTTTTACACATGAAATAATGACATAACGGTAATTATAAAAGCCATTGAATAATAATAATATATTAATAATAATAATAATAATAATAATAATAATAATAATAATAATAATAATAATAATAATAATAATAATAACACTTTAATAATAATAATAATAATAATAATAATAATAATAATAACACTTTCTTATAATTTAACATCCATTAAAGGTAAGTCTCTTTAAAGCTGAATAAATACAGTAATTCGTAGTTTAACATTATTTTTTCCACTGGAGTGGACGAAATATTCGTGTTTAATAAATTATGTTCCAAAAATACGTCAACTTGACTATTGTTTTCATTGTCATCACTTTCACCAATATATCTGTCTCTTATACACATCTAGATGTGTATAAGAGACAGCTCTTAAGATGCACATTAATGGCACTCAACTCAAACAAATTGACGACAAACTTACATGGAATTTGCACATACGTAGCCTCCGTTCAAACATCGGTCTCTCTACAAATCTCCTGGCACGAGTACGGAGATTCATTGACACACGCACAGCACTTCTTATTTACAACACCATTTTCTTACCCATATTGATTACTGTTGTAGCGTTTGGGGAGCCAGGTCCATAACTAATATCAAAATCTCATCCTTTCACATCATCAGCCACCCTTTTCACAACACTCAATATTCACAACGTCAGTCAATAAATCAATTTACAACTTGGTTGCCTAGCATA